CAGCCCTGGCGCCTCCCAGCACATCCCGTTGCTCTCTGGTGTCCCCGGCGACCTCCCGGTGTGCCCTGTGGCCCGCGGTGCCTCCCACCATATCCCACTGTCCCCTCCCAGTATGCCCCAGTGCCCCCCAGTACCTTCCCGTGTTCCCCAGTGGGCCACACTGTTTGTGCCTCCAGGACTTCCCGTTGCACCTCAGTGCTCCCGCTGTGTCTTGCTGCCCCCCCAGGGACTCCCAGAACGTCCGAGTACGCCCTACTGCACCCCAGTGTGTCCCACTGCCTTTAGTCCACCCCAGCATGTCCAGGTGCATCCTACTGCCCACTTTCCCAGTCTGTCCCAGCACCTCCTGATAGGTCCTGTTCCCCCCCCAGTGACTCTCAGTCTACCCCAGTTCTTCCTGATATATCATACTGCCCCTCCCAGTGCTTCCCAGTCCATCTCAGTGCCTGATTCACAACCAGTGTGTGCTACTGCTCCCTTTTGCTGCCACCTAGCATGTCCAGGCAGCTCCCAGTGCCTGGTCCCTGCTCCGCAGCAGTCATCCCGCTGCCTGGGGATCCCACAGCTGCCCCACAGCCACACAGAGGGTAGCTCCTGCACCGTCCACAGCCTCATTAAAGCCTTCAGCGAGGCCACGACCGCCGCTTCTCCAGCGCACACCCAGCATGGCAAGGTCTGAAGGGCCACAGCTTTTCCCCGTCCTGACCAAACCTCATTCTTCCTCACAGGCAGACAATTTCATCCGAGCAAATGCCTGCAATAAATTGACTGTCATCGCTGAGCAGATCCGGTACTTGCAGGAGCAGGCTCGGAAGGTGAGGATGCATCTGTGAGCTGGGCAGAAGGCTCGTTGCCTTGTGCTTGCGAGGGAAGGGAGATTAGCATCTTGTCTTAACTGACAGACATTTGGGAAGAGCTGTGGCCTGGTTGTGAATCACGGCCAGGAGCCAAATAGGGAAGCTTCAGTGGGGGAATAAGCAGGGTTTATTGTCTGGTATCAGGTGGGGACAGGGGAGGGTTGGTTTTGGTGCTTTCCCTAGTCCTCTGCGCATCAGGGAGGACTTCTGTTAAGGTAGAGGAGTGAGGGCAGCTAGTCAAAAGCAGTTGAGGTGTCAGGAAGGACAGAGAGATGACTCTGGTTTTGGAGTCACCTGTTGTGACTCCTCTCACTGTAGCCTGTGTGATGTGTTCCCGGGAGGACTCAGTGCAGTGAGGTGACAGTGTGGCTCTGGCTGGATCTGAACCCCTGGGAGAGATGATGAGCTGTTACCTGACGATGCGCTTGGCTTTCCCATTTGCCCCAGCTCATTTGCTGGCGCAGGTGGCCCCAGCAGCAAGCCCACAAGGGCTCAGCTGTCCTCTTCAATTCAGACTTCACCCTTGGGGGTGAAATCTCGGAGCCTGAGCGGGAAAGGATCTGCCAGTCACTGTGACTGGCCCGCTGCCATCAAGGCCACTATGTCATATAATCGTTAACTGGTGGAGCTGGAGCTGTGGAGCAGTCAGCTGGTGGAGCTGGTGAGATGAATTCCCCTTTGTTTGCTGTCCCTTCCCCCGGGGACTGCAGCAGGGAAGCCCCCAGGGTCTGGCAGCTGTGTATGGAGAGGAAGAATGAGGCCAGCACATGGTGGGGTCAGGAACAGAAGTGAACCTGAGGCTGTGGTGAAGAGGTCCTTGATGCTTAGAGGTATCTCCGCCTCTGTGGAGGGGTGCAGGAGCTCTGAGGTCCAGCTGACTGGAAACTTGGAGAAAACTTTATCTCTTTGGAAAGCATCTCCTTCCTGGGGCAAGTAACGATGTGCCGCGTGAAGCCAGATGTGTGCCGGGGAGGATGAGGCCTCATGAGCGGCGTGTCAAGTAATGTAAATTGGGCTCTAGCTGAGAGGCAATAGCATCTTGTCATTTTATTTCAAGTGTGTAAATTTCAAATCTTTTTTTTTTAGGTCTTAGATGAAGCTAACAGAGATGCTGATCTGCACCACGTGGCCTGCAACCTCGTGAAGAAGCCAGGAAACATTTACTACATGTACAGGCGGGAGAGTGGCCAGCGGTACTTCTCCATCGTGTCTCCTAAGGTGGGTGGTTACAGCCCCCAAGGAAGTAGGGAGGGGAGAAGAACCACATTTCTGGTACTTGGCACTTCTGAACCTCAGACAAATGCACCAACTTCATGGGGGCATTAACAAATGGGGCCCCTGCTCGGTTGGCGTTCGTCCTTGGTCTGAGTTACTCTGCTAGTGTAAGAGCCATATTATGAATTTCTCTTAGCTCTTGGCAGATGGTGGACAAGAAGGCCTTTGGTGTGTGGACCTGAATTCTGCCTCTTGGTCCCTGTAGTTCTTTCTCTGGAAGTAAAGAACTGCAAACGTGCCCTGGGCCTTCCCTGTCCGGTGTGGCTGTCTGGCAGTATGGTCTCCTCAGGTGCTTCAGCCCACGGAGTGAGTTTGTCTGCAGCTTGGTAGGAGTGGTCGTGGAGGTATCCTCCTTCCAGGCCACCCATTTTCTTACGTGGAGGGTGAAGGCTTCAGAGCAAAGCACTGAGCATGTAGAGGAGCTCTGTGCAGGTCAAGGAGATGTTGTATCCCCAAGCCTCCCTGTGTCAGCCGCACTGTAGTTTGACCTGTGTGGCTACACAGGGTAGTTGACTCAGGGTAGTTGAGCCTATTTTCAGGTTAGAAAATGGGATGTTCATGTAGCTGGGACTGCTTCAAAAGTGGTAGCATGGGCAGAGGTTGGGCTGAGGGACAGCACAGCCCAGCTCCAAGGGGAACTGAGCAGTGATGTGAATCTCTCCTTTCTCCTCCAGGAATGGGGGACCAGCCCGCACGAATTTCTCGGTGCCTATAAACTCCAGCATGACATGTCCTGGACTCCATTTGAGGACATTGAGAGACGAGACGCTGAAATAAACATCTTGGACAAGCTGCTGAGCCGTCAGGCAGCGCTGCCGCCATGTACAGAGCCCAACTTCCAGGGCCTGACCAAGTGACCATACGGGACCCCCTGAGCAGAGTCCGTCTGTGGGGACATGCAGTGCCTGCATGCTGCCAAAGGCAGAGCAAGGAAAGAGACCAAGAAACAAAAATGTTGATGCTGCCAGTACTTGCTCCATGCTTTAATGAGACTAATTCTGCATTCAGGCTTACTGGATTTTCTAGTAATTGAGTAATTTATTTCTTTGACTTATGCCAAGCTGTAGCAAGAGGCAGATAATACCAGGTGGAGTCAATTTCAAGAGGGCTTGGGGCAAAAAGCAAAAATGCTTGGGGCAGATGTGATAATGCTATAAAATATGTCCTACCTGTCCGGCTTTGGTGTACCTCACTGTGACTACCTGCGGCAGGTAATGATTTAAGGGCTGGATTTTGCCCCTCGTTAAAATGCACATATTTAGGAAGCTCTGTGGCCTGGGAAGAGTGGTCAAAACCCTGCGCAGAAAGGTTTGTTGTGACCGGAGTCCGTTGGTCTTTGTCCCAGATGGTCTGAAACCCAGAGTCTGGCACAAGAGGTGACCTGGAGCGCTCTCCTCTGGGAAGAGCCTCCTCAAAAGTGCTGTGCAGGCTTCAGGTGCTCTTCAGAAGGTGGACGTTTCACAGTCCTCATGTGTTCGCCTTGGCTTCAAGTGGTTGAGCTGCCAGGGTGAGACAGGAGCACAGGACACGGAATGCCTCTGTGCCAGAGCAGTGGAGAAAATAAATCAAACTTGGCCTCAAATGTATCTCTGAGACAGGCTCCATGTCCTGTCTGCGTGGCAAGCATCCCTTTGGCTTTACTGGGGAGACGCGGTGGCGTGTAGGACTGGTAGGACATCTCCAGCCTCTCTTTTTCCACCAAGAACTGGGGAGAGGCAAAGATCAGAGCTGCTGAGGAGATGTCCTCGCTCTGTCCAGCCACACAGGGCTCCTCCAGGAGCTCGCCTGCTCCTCTATGAGTTGCTGAGGTGGGAATGTACTGATGGAGAAGGAGATGTCCAGGTTGGATCCCGGCGTGTAATGTCAGATCTGGTCAGATCGTCCCATGACTTGTTCACCTCCCTGAGACGACAAGGTAGTGACGTTACGTGCCGCTCAAGGCATCGCACGTGCACACTGGCCTTAGCCTCCCTCTCCGCTGGCGATGTGTGAGGGTTGGGGACCGTTTGTGGAAGGGGAATTGTGACCCCAGGGTCTGGGCCCACCTCCACCTGCATTTACAGTTAGGCTCTCCTGACTTCAAAGGTGGTGGTGGAAGATTGGTGTCCTCTGTTCCCCACGACATGGCCTTAGGCGCAGTAGGCACTCACCTTCCTGGGGGCTTGCTTGTTCCATGCAGTCACTCGTCTCCGGGTGACCTTCCCAGGCCTTGCCATATCGCTCCTTACCTACTGCTAAGGAAGACACCGCTGCCTTCAGCTCTGCTGGGTGATGCCTGACACAATTCTGGGCTCAGTCTGTGCATCAGGCTTCGATCAGTTCATGCATATGGTCTCAAAATAATCTCTTTAACTCCTCTAAGCGTCCTTGTTCCCTTTCTAGCATTGATTTGTTCGTCTTACACCAAGTCCCCAGAGCGTCCTGCTCCTCCTGGCCCTCGCCTGCAGCTGGGAGGGGTTTGGGTGCCCCACCGGAGTCTGGCAGAGGAGGCTGCTGCAGCACTGTGTTCTCCCAGGTCACCCTTGACTCATGCCTCTCCATCTCAATGTCTGAACCTACTGCTTTGGGTTAGGTGCTGCCATGACGCTGTCAAGGAGAGGGAAGAGCTCTTTCCATCCCCGAGAGACCCTTGGGGACCAGCACCGTCAGTGGGTCTTGCCATCGCTGCAGTTTATTCCCCTTTTGGCAGGGCACAGCCTCTCCAGCCTCTTGTCTCCCTCTCTTCTCATCCGCACACCCCTGGCACACCCTGGGAGTTGCCTTGAGAGATGTTTGAGGCTGCTGGCAGCACTGATTCCCCGTGGGAAGAGCTGTTCCTTGCTAGGATCGTAGAGGGATGGGAAGTTTGAGACAGTTCCCTGGCAGCCCAGGATTTTTTTTTGTCCTAGATTTTGTTCTCTCAGCTCTGCCAGGTGCAGTAGCTCATCCCGAATCCAGCATGGTTGAGCCTCTGGTTGGCAGAAACCTGGTCCTCAGAGTCAATGTGGGACATTTCAATCTTTTCCGAGCTTACCCTCCCTCACTTGGAGCACCAGGGCAGATTCAAAGCAATCTATTATTATTATTGTTAGACCAGGATATAATTAATACCTTATTGAGTCACAAGTGTCTAATTTGATGGTTTTTTTCCGTGCTTGTTTCATCGCCCCAGGTCTTATTTTACTGCATGTTATTAAATCCTAACTTGGAAGGGAGAAGTTAATTACTGCATAGGTTTTGCCATGGTGCTAATTACAGCAACATCAGAGATCTTCACATGTGTTGATTTATGCTCCTCTGGGAAGAGGGGATTCCTGCCCCAGTTTCATCTCTGTTTCCCATCATTAGAATCTGTACAGTGACATGCGCACGGGGATCAGGGTGATGTTCATGGACCTCCGTAACTTGTGATTTCACACGCTGGCCTTTAGTAGTACTTCACGTGTGCTTTCCTACATCTCCAACAAACACCCCTGACCCTCCGTGCTCCGTAACTTGCCGATGTCCTGCAGTTGTTCTGGGTTCTGGCAAGTATTTTTCTAGGATTTGCTCCAAAAGAGCAAAACCGCTACGGCTGTAGCTTTGTATGAAAATACACAGAAGGTATCAAGAGGCGTGACATGGAGATGGTGGGCTCACGCTCGTGGTCGGTGCTCTCTGCACTGCGGGCAGCGGGGATGCGTCTGCCCGATGGTCCCGCTGCCGTGCAGGGAGGTGATGGTGGAAGGGGGGAACTGTTGCCCCGAAACAGCTCGCCCAGTGTTGCCATCTCGGCTGGTTTTTGATCTAGTTAAACCCAAAGAGCTGAGGCAATGTTAGAAATACTGGAAGGTACTGCTGCAGAGCCGAGCAGCCCATCATCTGGAAAGCGGGCAAGGATGGAGCCTCCTGCAAAATGCTTGCAGCGAGGATGAGTTTCTGGGGAACCGAGGAGACGATGCTTGGTGGAGGACTCCTCGAGTCCCTCCAGGTTCACATCTCATCCACTTGGCTCAGCCTCTACCGAGCTGTTGCCTTTATGGGTTTTTGGCTCGATGGGGCAAGGATTTAATCTGATAATCAGCTGGGAAGAGTCAGCGGGACACAGTGCCAGAGGGCAGAGGTTGTCTGCAGATGAGGTATGGGCCACGTCTTGCTCCTACATGTTTTTCAAGCCTTTCATTTAGGCGAGCATGTGCGCTCTGCTTTGCTTAGAGGAACAACCATGTAGGTAAGGAGCGAACGAGGCAGAACCAGAGGCTACAGGCTCGCAGCTGCTGTTCCAGCGGCAGTACGTAATGCATTTCCCAGATAAAAAGGTTAAAAATCAACTGTCTCTTGCAAGACTTCATTTCCCTTCACAATTTCATCTCGAAAATTCATTTTGAAAATATTCCTCTCCCTTTGCTCTTTTGTGAGCTCCCAGGGCAGCAGTGGATGTGGTCTGACGGCAATGGCGCTCTCTGAAATCCCCGGGGATGGACAATATTTGCAGAAGACACAGATGTGCTTCTGACAGCATTAGCGTCGGGGAGAGCAGTTTTTGCTCCATCTTTGGACGTACAGATAAACCGGGGCTCGTTTAGAAGGGCCCACAGAAAGATGCTCTTAGCGTCTGCTCCGCTCCCGGGTGCTCCCCAGAGCCGATGTTTGCCGACTCTTCGGGCTGCTAGCCCTAAGACCGGCGGGTCTTCCTGCCTTTTAAAAACTGGATTACCCTAAACAAGTTCTTTATTTCAGGCCAGATTTTGGCTCCTGCTTCTCAGATTGGCAGTGCCTGGAGATTTTCTTCCTGCGCTCTTGTTCCTGAAGGGTGCTTTTATTTTATTTGGGGGGGATTAGGTTATAACCCCCTGTCAGTGCCCGCTGCACCGCAGGGTCGTCTCCCAGCCAGGAGGAGTCTCCCAAAAAGAGGAGTTGTGCCTCTTTGGCCCTTTTTATTTCAGCTTCAGCTGAAAAAAAAGGAAGAAAAAAATGGAGGGAATTTAGAAACAGTGATGCAGGGGTGCACGTGCACCCTGTAGGGCAGACCGTGCCCGCCAA